TCCCTCCCCTCCCCTCCCTTTTTTTCCCCTCCTGTCCCCTCCCCTTCTTTTATTCTTTTTTGAGTCAGGAGTCTGGCTCTATCACCCAGGCTGGAGTGCAGTGGTGCCATCTTGGCTCACTGCAACCTCCACCTCCCAGGTTCAAGTGATTCTGCCTCAGACTCCTGAGTAGCTGGGACTACAGGAGTGTGTCGCCACGCCCAGCTAATTATTCTGTTTTTAGTAGAGACAGGGTTTCACCGTGTTGGCCAGGCTGGTCTAGAATTCCTCAAATTCTCAGCCTCCCAAAGTTCTGGGATTACAGGGAAGAACACTGTGCTCAGCCTCGTATTTTCAATGTTAGTGACAAGCAGAGGGCTAATGTATACAGGGAATTGCACCAACCAATAAGAAAAGATTTCAAAAACCCATTAGAGAAAAATGGGTAAAGGACATGAAACAGGGAAGTAGAAATGACCAATAAAAATAAGAAAATATATGTAACTTAACTAATTTAAACATCGTAAACACCTTGGAACTTTTGCAACTAACAGCTTGTTTGCTAGTCATGATTTTAATGAGGGGGTGGGCAAATGGAAGTTTGCTCATTCTAGAGACTCAGTCTATGACCTTCTGCGGTTCTAGGACTGGTAGTGCTAGCATTACCTGGAGGCTACATAGAAGTGCAGAGTCCTGGCACAGTGGCTCACACGGGTAATCCCATCGCTTTGGGAGGCTAAGGCGGGTGGATCACCCGAGGTCAGGAGGTCGAGACTGGCCTGGCCAACATGGTGAAACCCCGTCTCTACTAAATATACAAAAACCAGCTGGGTGTGCTGGTGCATGCCTGTAGTTCTAGCTACTCAGAAGGCTTAGGTGGAAGGATAAGTTGAGTCTGGGAGGCTGGAGGCTGTGGTGAGCCAAGATCATGCCACTGTACTCCAGCCTGGGTGACAGAGCAAAATGCTGTCTCAAAAAAAAACCCCGGTGCAGTGGCCATGCCTGTAGCACTTTGGGAGGCTGAGGTGGGCAGATCTCCTGAGGCCAGGAGTTCGGGACCAGCCTGGCCAACATAGTGAAGCCCCGTCTCTCATTAAAAATACACAAATAAATTAGCTGGGTGTGGTGGTTCACACCTGTAATCCCAGCTACTTGGGAGGCTGAGGTAGGAGAATCGCTTGAACCTGGGAGGCGGAGGTTGCAGTAAGCCAGGATCATGCCAGTGCACTCCAGCCTAGGGAACAGCCAGACTCTGTCTCAGGAAGAAAAAACAAAACAAAATGAAAAAAACTATGGAGTCTCAGACCCCATCACAGACCTGATCAGAACCTGCCTTCTACCCAGGCCTGCAGGTGACCTGCATATATATCAGAGGTGGAGGTGTGCTCCTTCAGAGGCGTGGGAGCCAGCCTTCCTGGAAGTGAATCTTGCCCCTCACAATTCTATGACCTTTCAGATGTATCTGCTAGTATTGGGCAGCAGTGCTGTGTAACAAACCAGCCCCAACCCGGTGGCTTAAACAAACAGCATTGATCCTCATGGGGCAGCTCTACTTCATGCTGCAGCTCTGCAGACCTGGTGTGCCTGTGTGACTCTCATATCTCTAGGACAAGTAGGCTGGCGGGGGCGTGTTCTTCCCATGGTGATGGCAGAGGCCCGAAAGGGCAAGTGAGGCCTCCTGAAGGCTAATCTTATAACTAGCATGCTGTCAATTCCACCGACATCCCATTGGCCAAAGCAGGTCACATGACACAACCAAACCCAAATGAAGGAGCAGACAAGGACATTTGGCTATTGGTGGAGGAATGCAGTCACATGGCAGAGGGCATGGACATGGGAATGAGGGTGGCATGTGACATAAGTTTGTGTTTTAATTTCCTCCTCTTCTGCAAGAGGACAAGATGGGGATGATAACCCTGCCCACCTTGGAGGATTATAAGATTATCACAGGGACTCAATTAGTTAATGGACATTAAAGTGGCTAGAACATGGCTTGGCACAGAGCCAGCATCTCATCCTCAATGGATGTTAGCTGGTGTTACTGTGGGTGAGGGAATGTAGACGGGTCCAGCATTTTTGGGGGAGGCTGTTTGTCAATATCTACAAAAATTAAAAATACACGTGGCCTTTGAGCCAGTACTTCCTATTGGAGGGATTTAATCCTGCGAGCTTGCAAAAACGGACAGACGGAGATTCACGTGAGCATCTGCTGACCGCTGTGTCGTTTTCATGGTTCAAGCCTGGAGATGCCGTGTGACTAGCTGGGGGCCTCTGCCACTGACTGAGTGTCCCCTCCTTCCCCTCCAGGTGGGCCTTTCTGGAGCTGGGCACGAGTGGCCGATACAATGACAGCTTGCAGGCCTACGCAGCCGGCGTGGTGGAGGCCGCTGTGTCAGAGGAGGTAAGGGCTGAAGCGTGGACATGGGGCTCCCACCCTGCCCCCACCCCTAGCAGTGTGTTCTCCAGGCTGCTTTTGAGATATATGCAGAATAGGCCCCCTCACTCCTGCCGCTGCCTTCCATCTAGCTGGGGAGAAAAAGTGGACATGCATTCTTTAGAAAATTACACTAGGGGCCGGCCACTGCACCTGGCTCTCACCTGCTTCTGATATTGCTCACTTCTTGAATGGATGATGTTAATTTTTATAAAGCTCAATGATGAGTAAAGCAAAATAATATGTTGTTGAGGGACTCATCACATGCAGTAAAAGCAGCTGAACAAAAGGCAGTGGGCACAACTCGAGTGCCCAGCTCCTGATGAATGGATGCATAAAACGTGATCTCTCATACAGCGTAAGTTTATTCGGCCATAAAAGGGAATGAAGGACTGACACACCAGAACATGAAAGAACGTTGAAAACATGCTAAGGAAAAAAGCTAGTCACAAAAGGGCACATACTGTACGATTCTATTTATATAAAATGTCCAGAGGCTGGGTGGGCACTCCAGCTTGGGCAACAGAGCAAGACTCTGTCTCAAAAAAAAAAGTCCAAAATTAGCAAATCACAGAGACAGAAAGCTGACTAGTGGGTACCAGGACTTGGGGGGAATGAGGAGTGACAGCTGATGGATAGGGGGTTTCTTTCTGGGATGATGAAAATGTTCTGGAGTTAGAGAGTGGTGATGGTTGCACAACCTTATGAATACATTAAAAACCATGCATTATACTTTTTTTTTTTTTTTTTTTTTGAGACAGAGTCTTGCTCTGTTGCCCAGGCTGGAGTGCGGTGGTACAATCTCGGTTCACTGCAACCCCTGCCTCCCAGGTTCAAGAAATTCTCCTGCCTTAGCCTCCCAGGTAGCTGGGATTAAGGCATGCGCCACCATGCCCAGCTAATTTTTATATTTTTAGTAGAGATGGGTTTTTCCCATGTTGACCAGGCTGGTCTCGAACTCCTGACCTCAAGTGATCGCCCGCCTAGGCCTCCCAAAGTGCTAGGATTACAGGTGGGAGCCACCACGCCCAGCTGATTTATACATTTTTAAATGGTGAATTTTATGGTATGCAGACTATATCTCAATATGAATGAATGAATGAAAAGGAATAATAGCTACCACATTTAGGGTGGTGGGTACCTCTAGGGGTGGAGGAGGCAGGGGCTTAGGGGCTGCTCAATGGTACCAGTAACATTCTAGGTTTCAGTTTGGGTGTTCATTTGATTATCATGCATCATAACTTAGAATATGTTGTGTATTATTTCTGTGTATCAGATAGTACCTAGTGTAAATTTTTTTTTTTTTGAGACAGTCTTGCTCTGTCACCTAAGCTGGAGTACAGTGGCGCGATCTCGGCTCACTGCAACCTCTACCTTCCTGGGTTCAAACGATTCTCATGGCTGAGCCTCCAGGGTAGCTGGAATTTACAGGCGCACACCACTACGCCTGGCTAGTTTTTGCATTTCTCGTAGAGATGGGGTTTTGCCGTGTTGGCCAGGCTGACCTCAAACTCCTGACCTCAAGTGATTTGCCCGCCTCGTCCCAAAGTGCTGGGATTTCAGGTGTGAGCCACCTGGCCTAGGCTAGTCAGACATGCTAACAGGCACTGTCATGTGTACTTCACAGTAAACGCCTGCCATCTTCCAGGGACTCCATCAATAACTGACTTTTCCATTGATGGCCTAACCAGCGGCCCAAGGCAGAGCACCTGCCCATAATCCCAGGACATTGGGAGGTCCAGGAGGGAGGATTGCTTGAGCCCAGGAGTTGGAGGCTACAGTGAGCTAGGATTTTACCACTGTACTCCAGCCTGATAACAGAGTGAAACCTTTCTCAAAACACACACACACACACACACACACACACACACACACGCACATACACACGAAGTAGGTGAGGCTGTGGAGTGACAGCGGTCTCCCATGATATAGATGGCGGTGTGCATTGGGTCACCCAAACTGGAAAATAATTTGACATCAACTTGTGGAGTTGAACCTGCATGTGCCCTAGGACCCAGCAGCCCTCCTGCTTGGGTATACCTTAGAGGGGATGCATACCCAGGGGTGTGCATGAGGTGCTCAAAGCAGCCCCAAAATGTCTTTAAAATGCCCCGAGCAGGTGAATAGCTAACTAGGTGGAGGTGTGCAGGGCAGCGTTACCAAAGCAGTGGAAATGGGTGAATCTGAGACGCCTGGAGGTGAAGGGGAAAGAGCACACCTTCCCGTGTTGCCCAGGCTAGCCCCAAAACCCCGGGCTCGGGCGATCCTTCCACCTCCACTTCTCAGGTACCTGAGAATATAAGCACACACCGCCATGCCCGGCTTAAGCCCCATTTTAATGTGGATTCCAGTCATGGCTCTTTGATTCACCACCTGGGTGACCTTGGGAAAGCTACTTAACCTGTGCCCTGATTTCCTCAGCTGTAAGTGGGAGCAGTGATAATAGCACCCTCCTTATAGAGTTGTGGGGGTTGAATGTGCCAGTTCATAGAAAGGGTGGTCATTACCACTAGCTATGGGTAGTGAGCCCCCTCCGTAGAGCGGCCGCGGCCACTCCCCTCCTCCTGGGGTGCCAGCTGGGTGGCTTGTGTTACTCTGGGCCAGGCAGCTGTTCTTGGCTGGGTTCACTGATGCTCCTGAGTCTGCCAGCTGGCCTGGATGGCCTTGTTCATATGTCTGGGGGCTGGCTCTCTGTCAGCTGGGGTGATGGGGATGACCAGGCTACACGGTCTTTTGTCCCCCAGCAGGTGAGCCCAGACTCATGCAGGTGGCATTTGGGTGGGAAGTGCAGAGGGCCACATGAGGTCTGGGTGAAACTGGCGTGGCATTCTCTTGCCTGGTGGAGTCAGCAGGGGTATTGCTGTTTTGTTCCCTGCTGTGTCCTCAGTGCGTAGGCTGGAACATAATAGGTACTCAAAAAAACATTCATTGATTGACTAGCTGAACACATAGATTGGGGTCCCAGTAGCAGAGGTGGTGCCACCAGGTACAGGCTTTGCAGGCTAAAGGCTCTCAGGGCAACTTCCAGGGGTCTGGGGTCCCTACCGGGGCAGAGCTGGGCAGGAAGAGGAACCTCCAGGGAGAGGATGGCATGAACCAGGGCTCAGGTGGCCACGCCAGCAGCGTCTGCTTTGGGGCAGCCTGGGTAGGGCTCTCAGGGAAGAGAGCACCCCAGCTGCCCGCCCCCACCTCACCCACCTGCTGCCCCGCAGCTCATCTACATGCACTGGATGAACACCGTGGTGAATTACTGCGGCCCCTTCGAGTACGAAGTCAGTTACTGCGAGAGGCTCAAGAGCTTCCTGGAGGCCAACCTGGAGTGGATGCAGGAGGAGATGCAGTCAAACCCAGACTCAGCTTACTGGCACCAGGTGAGCCCAGCTGCCATGCTCGGTGGGAGGGGGCTTCCAGCTGGCCAGCCGTCCTGTCCCCTGCTGTCCTGGCCAGCCTCGTGGCATGTCCAGTGGCCCAGCCGCCGCATGTCCATCATCATCTCCACCCTCCTAGCTGACCTGCCACATGTCCATCTGTCCAGTCTCCATCTGTCCACTTGCTGGAATTCCAGCCATCCACCCTAGCCTACTTACTGTCAAAGAATGACTGAAAACAGTCAGCTGTTAGCATGGTGTTTTACTTGCATACAAGGGAGGTTGCTTGGTAGATTGGCTATGTTGGATGCAAGTAAATACAGTATGAGAAAGAGAGGAAGGGGAAAGCTGGAAAATCCCAGAGAGTCCAGGCACAGTGAATTTCGTTTTCCTTTCCTTGAGGGAGCTGCTGATCAGCTGACAGCTAATGGAGAGGCCAGGCAGGTGCTCTGCCTTGGGGCCACTGGCTAGGCCATCACTGGAAAAGTCAGTTATTTAATGTCAGGTGCTTACAGTGAAGTACACATGACGCTCTGTCAAGTGGCTGCCAATGCCTGTTAGCATGTCTGCCTAGCCTAGGCCAAGTTTGCACCATTTTCCTCTGTAGAACTTCTCAGTGTTCACCCACCCCCCTACTCACACCCTTATTAAGACAGCCTTTTCTACCACCCACCCATCTACTTGTCCGTTCCACACATCTACCACCCACCCATCCACCCATCATGCATCTATCCATCCATCCATTTGCCCACCCATCCATCCATTCATCCACCCACCCACCACTCACCCATCTACCTCCATCTATTCATTCACTCTTCCACCCATCCATTTACCCATCTATTCTCCCACCCACCCATCCATCCATCATCCATCCATCCACCCACGCATGCTTATATATACAAATCCACCTACCCACTCACCCATGCATCCATCCACCTTCCATCTGTCAAGCCACCCATCCACCCATACATACGTACATCCACCCATCCATTCATCCAACAGCCCACCCATCCATCTTGCAGATGCTTACTAAGTGCCTGGTGTCCCTCGCCAAGGCTCCATGAGGGACGCACTGATGATACTTTATGGTTACAGGATGTTGAGGCAAAACGATGACAATGGGGAGAAGTCAGATGCATGTGACAGGTACCCGAGGAAGCAATATAGTCAGTACTGAACTCAGAATAGGAGCAGTTGGCAAGAGGCCAGGCCAGGCTGGGAGGCATCCTAGAAGAGATGGCTTCTGAACTAGGCTCTTAAGTGGGGCAGATTAACACATCCACCACGCATCCATAGGGCAGAGATATAGAGTTAATTCATGGAAAGCAGGAGAATACTCAGCATGGAGGGGTGGATGGTAGTTTGGGGGGGGTCAAAGCTGGCTGGAGTCTGGAGGGTACCCCCAGGCCTCCTGCTCTGTCTGAACCCCCAGGCCAGAGCCCCTCCCATTGAAGAAGAAGGTGTGAGCCTGAAGGAGAGGCCTCACCCTCCCTCTGCCCCTGCCCCCTCCCCTAGGTGCGGCTGACCCTCCTGCAGCTGAAAGGCCTGGAGGACAGCTACGAAGGCCGTGTGAGCTTCCCAGCTGGGAAGTTCACCATCAAACCCTTGGGGTTCCTGTAAGTGCCACCCCCAGAGTGGACAGGGTGGGAAGAAGGGCCACACGCTCATAGTTGGACAGACCTGGATTCCAGCGTCAACCCTGCCACTGCCTGGCTCTGTGGCCTCAGAACAGTCAGCTGATCTCCCAGAGCCTCGGCTTTCTCCTCTGCAAAATGGGAACATAACACCACCCACAGTGGCATGGTAACCCCCTGGTGCCCTGGCCCTCCTCAGCCTGCTGCAGCTCTCTGGGGATCTGGAAGACCTGGAGCTGGCCCTGAACAAGACCAAGATCAAATCTGCCCTGGGCTCCGGCTCCTGCTCTGCCCTCATCAAGCTGCTGCCCGGCCGGCGTGACCTCCTGGTTGCCCACGACACCTGGAACAACTACCAGCACATGCTGCGTGTCATCAAGAAGTACTGGCTCCAGTTCCGGGAAGGCCCCCAGGGTAAGTGACTGTGGGTGTGTCTGGGGGATGAGCAAGTGGGTGGGCACCCACATGGGGGTGGTCCTAGGAGGTGTGGGCCTTGGAAACCCTTCCAACACATGGAGTCACTATAGGCACATTTCAAGAGTTCATCCTGTTTTTGTTTTTTTCTTGAGTCAGGATCTTGCTCTGCTGCCCAGGCTGGAGTGCAGTGGCACAGTCGTGGCTCACTGCAGCCTTGACTTCCCAGGCTCAGGTTCCCGCCTCAGCCTTCCAAGAATCTGGAACTATAAATATGTACCAGCACACTCAGTTGGTTTCTTTATTTTTTTTATTTTTTTAAGAGACAGAGTCTCATAATGTTGCCCAGGCTTGTCCCAAACTCCCAGGCTCAAGTGATCCTTCCGACTTGGCCTCCCAGAGTGCTGCCATTACTTATGTGAGCCACTGCGCCAAGCCAGTGCATCTTTTTATACATGTTTATTGCCTTTTTAATTTTACCTATTGCTGCTTAATCAGCCACCCCAAAATCTAAAATAACAAAAGCTTAAGCAACCACTATTTATTTTTTGTTCCTGCCTCTGTGGGTCAGCTGGGTGGTTTTGGTTTTCTGGGCTGGGCCAGGCTGATCCTGGCTAGGCTCACTGATTCATCTGCAGTTCACTGGCAGGTCAGCTCGGGGGGGCTGGCTGGCCTGGGTTGGCCTCATTCTCCTGTCTGGGATTGACTGTCAGCCAGGGTGATGGGGACAGCTGGGCCATCATCAGCAGGTGAGCACAGGCCTGTTCATGTGGTATTGGGGTGGGATGTGGTGAAGACCTCTTGAGGCCTTGGTGAAACTGATGCAGCGTTCTTTTATTTTTTTAAATTTTGAGACAGTGTCTTGCTCTGGTGCCCAGGCTGAAGTGTAGTGGTGCAATCTCAGCTCACTGCAACCTCCGCCTCCTGGGTTCAAACAATTCTCCTGCCTCAGCCTCTTGAGTAGCTGAGATTATAGGCATGTATCACCATGCCTAGCTAATTTTTATGTTTTTAGTAGAGACAGGGTTTACCCATATTGGCCAGAGTGGTCTTGAACTCCTGACCTCAAGTGATCTGCTCACTTTGGCCTCCCAAAGTACTTGGATTACAGGTGTGAGCCACCACACCTGGCTTGACACAGTGTTTATTTTGTTTTATTTTTTTAGACAGAGTCTCACTCTCGCCTAGGCTGGAGTGCAGTGCTCAGCTTACTGCAACCTCTACCTCCCAGGTTCAAGCAATTCTCCTGCCTCAGCCTCCTGAGTAGCTGGGATTACAGGGGCGTGCCACTGTGTCTGGCTAATTTTATTAGAGATGGGGTTTGCCATGTTGGCCAGGCTGGTCTTGAACTCCTGACCTCAGGTGATCTGCCTGTCTCGGCCTCCCAAAGTACTGGGATTAAAGGAATGAGCCATTGCACCTGGCTGACATAGCATTCTTTACCCAAATAAGTCTGGTGGCCAGCCAAGACTCAAGAGGTGGGAGAACAGGCTTCACCATTTGCTGTGAGAAACTGCAGGGTTGCACATGGCTTGGATGCAGGCATGGGAAAAATTAGAGCTATTTTTGCTAACAACCAACTGCAGGGCGTGCGTGAATATACTCTTCCTGTCAAATATGAAAACTGACTGTGCATGGTGGCCCATGCCTGTAATCCCCACGCTTTGGGAGTTCGAAGCAGGAGGATTGCTTGAGCCCAGAAGGTCGAGGCTTCAGTGAGCAGTGATCACGCCACTGCACCCCAGTCTGGGTGACAATGCAAGACCTTGTCTCTAATAAAGAAAAAAAAAAGGCCGGGTATGTTGGCTCATGCCTGTAATCCCAGCACTTTGGAAGGCCAAGGTGGGCAGACCACGAGGTCAGGAGATCGAAACCATCCTGGCTAACATGGTGAAACCCTGTCTCTACTAAAAATACTAAAAGTTAGCCAGGTGTGGTGGTGGGCGCCTGTAGTCTCAGCTACTCGGGAGGCTGAGGCAGGAGAATTGCTTGAACCTAGGAGGCGGAGGTTGCAGTGAGCTGAGATCGTGCCACTGCACTCCAGCCTGGGCGACAGAGTGAGACTCCATCTCAAAAAAAAAAAAGAAAACAAAACAAAAGTTTACAGTCAAGGCCAAAGTCCTCCGTAGTGCCACGTCCTTCATCGCAGGCCCCAGCATCAACCCCAGGGATTGCAGTACCAACTGCCAGATATTTGCAGTACCTCCTTCTTGGCCAAATGTAAAAACTTGATGGGACCAGGAGCTGGTGAGGAGGTGCGGAAGTGTCCAGCCTTATTTGTTGCTAATGGGAGTATGTGTTGGCACAGCTACTTTTAAGAGGAATCCAGCTGGCATCTAATAAAATTCAAAATCCGTCACTCCAGTGATCCAGCAATTTTCTGACTCCAGTCTGTCCCTAGAGAGACATTGCAGCTTCTGCACGGGGAGTGTGTATAAGCAAGTCTGCTGCCACAGTGGTTTGGTAACAACCTAACGTCCACTCACTGAAATTCAAGTCCACTCTAAATTGACATTTCCGCAGGGCATCATATACACCGAAAGTGTATAGCTTGCATTTCTTGCATGTGGAGCACACCCTATGTACAGCAGCCAGCTGGAGAAACAGAACATTCCCAGCCCCTAGAAGCTTCCCTCATGTCCCTGTCCAGGCACACCCCACCCCAGCATCACCTCTATTCTGCTTTCTCTCTTTCTTTTTTTTTTGTTTTGCAAGATAGAGTCTTGCTCTGTCACACAGACTACAGTGCAGTGGTGCGATCTCAGCTCACTGAAACCTCCACCTCTGGGTTCAAGTGATTCTTCTGCCTCAGCCTCCCGAGTAGCTGGGATTACAGGTGCATACCACCATGCCCAGCTAATTTTTGTAGTTTTGGTAGAGATGGGTTTCACTATGTTAGCCAGGCTGGTCCTGACCTCAAGTGATCCAACCAAGAAGGTACCAAAGTGCCAGACTCCTTTTAGGGGAGAAACTTCTGTTAGCCCTAAAAGTATAAACAGATGAGGTCCTCTGAGATCTTCAACTGCTTGCTTTTGTAGTGTGTTACCTGATTTTTTTTTTTTTTTTAAGACAGAGTCTCTCTCTGTTGCCCAGGCTAGAGTTCAGTGGCATAATCTTGGCTCACTGCAACCTTCGCATCCTGGGTTCAAGCAATTCTCCTGCCTCAGTCTCCTGAATAGCTGGGATTATAGGTGCACACCACCATGCCCGGCTAACTTTTGTATTTTTAACGGAGGTGGGGTTTCACCATGTTGGCCAGGCTGGTCTCGAACTCCTGACCTCAAATGATCCAACCACCTATCCTGATTTCTCACAGCATACGTTAGGTTTGCCTGGTTTTGAATGTCATATGAATGGAATCCTGTAGTATGTGCTCATTTGTTCTGCATGTCTGTGAGATTCATCTGTATTACTATGTATAGCTGTAGATATATCATTCTCATTGCTATATATGCATTAAAATTTTAATATCTTTTGAAAACTGCATAAGTTATGCATGTATGTTGTGAAACATTTGAGAATCCTCCAAAACACTCTCACAATGAGAATCACTCAAACACTCCAGAACCTGAAAGAGAAAATTTCTGTCAACATTTGGTTATGTTTTCTTCTAGACTTTAAAAAATGTACCTTGGCTGGGCACAATGGCTCACGCCTGTAAACCCAGCAGTTTGGGAGTGCAAGGTGGGTGGATCACTTGAGACCAGGAGTTCAAGTCCAGCAGGGCCAACATAGCGAAACCCCGTCTCTACTAAAAATACAAAAATTAGCCGGGCGTGGTAGTGCACAACTGTAATCCCAGCTACTGATACCTTTCTTTTAAAGTGCAAAAACTTACTGTAGAAGAGATAATTCAGTCCGGACATGGTGATTCGTGCCTGTAATTCCAGCACTTTGGGAGGGTGAGGCCAATGGATCACTTGAGGTCAGGAGTTCAAGACCAGGTTGGCCAACATGGTAAAATCCTTCTCTACCAAAAATACAAAAATTAGCCAAGTGTGGTGGTGGATGCCTGTAATCGCAGCTACCTGGGAGGCTGAGGCAAGAGAATCACTTGAACCCGGGAGGCAGAGATTGCAGTGAGCCGAGATCACCCCACTGCACTCTAGCCTGGGCAACAGAGCATGACTCTGTCTCA